TCGCAGCGTGCGCATTACCTAAATGCCAAATGCTCCTGTCTTTCATTCCCCCTTAGCAGCCATTAACATGTGCATTGAGCACTATCTTTTATTGTTCAACAGCGCACAGTAGAAATCTCTCACCGGAACCACCTTGGAGGTCAAAATCCTAAGGACCGCTATTAAGGGTATGTGCCACTGGTGGTTACGTACTACGAGGGACGCACAAGCCACGCCATAAGGAGCTTCGCCCCTAAAAAGTCAGAGCTTTGCTGCAAAGGTGAAGCAATTAACGCGATAGCAACAAATTGGAAGGTCACGCGCAGAATGGCGAACAGATCAAAACATACCGCGCGTTTCTCACGCACAAGTAATGCAAAAAACTTACTCACAGGTACAGATAAACGTGAATAAGCGTCTTAGTTGTTACTTCGCTGTGTCTGAAAAGCGCACAGCGAAGTATATATATATATATATAAGTGCGGCGATGGCGTAGTGGTTAGAGCATCCGCCTCGCATGCAAGAGGTCCGTGGTTCAAATCCCGGTGCCGCGCAGTTCCCAACCGGATAATATATATATATATATATATATGTATATATATAATGAGATATAACAGAAAGTAATGCCAAGGAATGTACAGGGGAAGTTATTAAAACCAATGGAATGTAAATAAGAAGAAAGAAAAGTGGATGAAAAAATCCCCAACTGTGAGCAGGAATCGAACCTACCACCTTCGAATTACGCGTTCGATGCTCTAACCACTGAGCTATCACAGCGGCCCTCCCTCCATCCACTTTTTTTTGGGTTTATCTGTGAATTTAGAAGTAGGAGCGACAGTCAGCGCCATCTATAAGCCAAACAACGAGTGTGAAAACACTCTTATGCGCGTGTTTGGCGTCACGTAGCACGTGAACTTATTATGAGCAGGCAGCTGATTAATTGTCCCTCTTATACAACCTAAACACACCAAGTCTGCCAGTACGAGACCCTCGTTCAATGAAATAAGGGAAAGAAGTGTATACCTAAGGGCTCGTTTTTTCCGTGTTTTAACACAATAATAATGAGATATAACAGACAGCAATGCCAAGGAATGTACAGGGGAAGTTATTAAAACCAATGGAATGTAAATAAGAAGAAAGAAAAGTGGATGAAAAAATCACTAACTGTGAGCAGGAATCGAACCTACGACCTTCGAATTACGCGTTCGATGCTCTAACCACTGAGCTATCACAGCGGCCCTCCCTCCATCCACTTTTTTTGGGGTTTATCTGTGAATTTAGAAGTAGGAGCGACAGTCAGCGCCATCTATAAGCCAAACAACGAGTGTGAAAACACTCTTATGCGCGTGTTTGGCGTCACGTAGCACGTGAACTTATTATGAGCAGGCAGCTGATTAATTGTCCCTCTTATACAACCTAAACACACCAAGTCTGCCAGTACGAGACCCTCGTTCAATGAAATAAGGGAAAGAAGTGTATACCTAAGGCTCGTTTTTTCCGTGTTTTAACACAATAATAATTGAGATATAACAGACACAGGCCAAGGAATGTACAGGGGAAGTTTTAAAACCAATGGAATTAAATAAGAAGAAAGAAAAGTGGATGAAAAAAATCACTAACTGTGAGCAGGAATCGAACTACGACCTTCGAATTACGCGTTCGATGCTCTAACCACTGAGCTATCACAGCGGCCATCCCTCCATCCACTTTTTTTGGGGTTTATCTGTGAATTTAGAAGTAGGGAGCGGACAGGTCCAGCGCCATCTAATAAGCCAAACCACACGAGTGGTTGAAAACACTCTTATGCGCGTCGGTGTTGGCGTACACGTAGCACGTGAACTTCTATGAGCAGGCAGCTGATTAATTGTCCCTCTTATACAACCTAAACACACCAAGTCCCTACTATAACCCAGGTCAATACACCGACATGTGCAAATTGATTGATCTATATGCGGGGTTTAACGGCCCGAAACTTCCATATGATTATGAGAGACGCCATAGTGGGGGACTGCGGTAATTTCGTTCGCCTGGGGTTTTCTTTAACGGGCATGTACCCTAATCTGAGTATACCGGGCTACAGCATTTTCGTCATGGAAAATGCAGCTGCCACTGCCGGGGTTCGATGGCGCGGCCTGCGGGTCAGCAGCCGAGTACCTTAGCCAATAGACCACCGCGGCGGAATGGCGGGTGCCAATTATGTTAACAAAGAGCGGACCTACTTCACAAGCTGTGGGCCTCTCAAAAGGCATTCCTACATGGTCACGCAATGGACTTTTCCAGAAATTGGCGCGTGCCCCCTGGCGGGCCGCATGGGAAGCCGGAGCGCCGGCGAAGTGTCATCTGCTCGCGGAAGCGTTGGCTCACCTCGTTTCCCGCGGTGCACGGGCGTGCGAAGGCATATTTGCGAGAATATCGCGCTTGATAACACTGCTTCAATCTGCACTCGCAGAAGACTCACAACGCAGAGCAACATTGAGTCAGGAAAATTATTATAGACCCGGGAAAATCCTAACGTACCCGCGAAAGAGCGCATTGAATTGGAAACATTACTCGGCTTTCGCAGCGAGCCCGTTCGCTTCGTTGGTCGTATTTCCATGTAGCAGAGGCTTTTCTCTTTTGTCCTATCTTCAGCATGACCATACAGCTTTATTATTAGTACTTTATATTAACCCCGATCACTCGTGATATGCTTCCTCGTGATAAGCGGTGCAAGAGACCGTGGCACTTCGCGCATGATAATCAATGTGAAAATCCTATAACTGGGTTTGAGCTCCACTATGCTGGTGGATCAGAATTCTAATTGCCTGTTTCGAACGTTGTGCGTGAGAAACTTCGCACTTAGGACGCCGAGACTATAGTAAAACCAGCTACCAACACGCCCATAGAGCGGGCATCAAGTGAGTACTGTCGTGTGCGGAGATTCCATATATACAGCGCAGTGTCGCACTTCATAAAGCGAGAATTTTCTGCACATTTGACTTCGCAGTATTTTTTGTGAAACAGCGTAAGACATGCTGTCTCTGTGTCGTTCCTCTTAAGAACTTAAGAATATACGACCTGACTACGCAAAGGGTAACAATGGGAAGAAATTTATAACCGAATGAGCGTTACTGTGCACAATTTGCTCAATATTCTATTTTACTGCTTGAGCTCCCGTGATCCCTTGTTTCATTACAGTTTATGATTGTGCTAATTTAGTAATTTGTCGTTTCGATGCTGATGGCTATTCAAGCCGCAGAAAACATACAGCCATTCCTGTCACCATTGCCAAAATGGCCATGAGCAGAAAATCTGAAGGACTCGCCTCAGGGGTACTCAGAAGCGAAAATTCCGCGGAATAGAACATTGCCATTGTGTCGATAAGCACTCAGTGCCTGGGCACAGTATGTTTAAGCCAGAAAACGTTGTTAAGTAATGCTCTGCCAGTACGAGACCCCTCGTTCAATGAAATAAGGGAAAGAAGTGTATACCTAACGGCTCGTTTTTCCGTGTTTTAACACAATATTAATGAGATATAACAGACAGTAATGCCAGAGTCCTTCAATGCTTTTCTGGTCACGAAAGTGCCGCCTCAGCTTCATATGGAGCCAGCACTGGCCGCTAGGGGCGCAGCTGTGCTCGTGAGGGCATGCTGCCGTCCGCTACCGCTGCGGTAGTGTGTTGGTCTGCTTTGATTTCCAAGCTTTCTAAACTTCTGCAAAAGTCGTTTCACTTTCCCTCATTTACTTGGAACATTCAGCGTGCGTCGGTGACTGCGTGAACGCGCCGTCTGCCTTGAAATGAGCACCCGGGAGAAAAGAAACTAACAGCTCTGGACAAGCAGCTCGCGGCAGTCGCAGTCGAAAATGACAAAAATTCGGGGTTTGCCGCACCATAACGATGATATGATTTTGATACACGTCGTAGTGGGGGATTCTTGATTAATGTTTAACAGCTGGGGTTGTTTTTATATGCATGTAAATCAAAGTGCACGCCTTTTTTTCTGCTCTTGCGTTTCGCCTCGTCGAAATGCAGCCGTCAGGGTCGGGGGAGCGCCGCTCGTTCGTCGCAATACTGCAACTGGTCCAGCTTTTCAAAATTTGCCTGAAATCAGACACTGTACATTCGCAATAACGCACTTGCTGTGCCACATGTAAACAGAGGCGAACATACGAGTTGTTACACGTCCATTCGCCCGGAAGTGAGCGAAATCTCTCGACTGCGCAAAGTTGCGCATAAGGCCAGATGGTTCGCACGGCACGGCCGCTCAATTTCTATTAAACTGTGAACATTATCAGACTCCTGGTGTCATTTTATTCGCAACAGAAAACCCAAACAATTAAACCATTACTGCAAGAAATGCTTCCGTAGAATGCCTTCTTTTCATGACAAGAAAAAAAAACACCTGTTCTATGCGCTTCAAATTTCTGGACCGAACGATTAAATCCCTCTACGAGCCTTAGGTACAATATATGTAATATCAGAGTCCTTAAATGCCAGCAATACTAACCTCATAGCAGTCTTCGGTGCGGCGTGTTGCCCCGCCACGGTGTTCTAGCGGTTATGGCACCCGGCTACAGATCCGAAGGTTGCGAGATCTAATCCCGGCCGCGGCGGCTGCATTTTGGTTGAGGCGAAATGTTGAGGCCCGTGTACTTGGAGTTTGGTACACGTTAAAGTGGTCAAATTCGTTCCGGAGCCCTCCACCACGGGGCGTCTGTCATAATCACAGCTGGTTTTGGGACGTAAAACCCCATCAGTCAACCGGTGCGACGTTTAGTTTATGATCATGACGAACGTGAAAAGTAAGGTCGAACACAGTTGACAGTGTATTGTAATTAGGCCATTGTTTTATAAGCAGTCTCATATAGAAGAGACAGTAAACCAGTAACTTAAGCCGCTCGTGATTTCGACAAAAACACACAAGAAGTTATTTTGATTCTTCTAATGGCCGACTATATACGAGGGGTTAAGATATTCCAATCATCGATGCTAATATTGTTGTCAGTGTCAGAAGGAAAAAAATAATTCAACAAGAAAAATACATACAAGGTGCCTGTGCGAAAGCAATATGCAAGCACAACCATTTATTAATTTTATTTAAAACAAACCACATACACAGAACACCAGTGCACCAGTTCATGAAAAGCTAATTAAAAAACGTGAAGAATGGACAGCAACATATGTGAGATATGGATTGGGTGCAGAGTTACCTTTGAGTGTTTGGTTTTTTACCACCCCCTGCTGGACATGAAGCGCACCCTTTCGCTTGCATCTGTTTGTTTCTTTCTCTCGTAAAAAAATGCAAACGCACCTTGAGAAAAAACTGAACAACTTCTGCAGTCGTGCTCACAAAATGTGACTTGCAACCGACAGCAGCTGAAGCAGTCCGAGGGTCCATCAAAACATCCTCCACAATATTCATGTACACACCAGAACAAGCAGTTTTTTCAACTGTGTGCGCTTCCATGTGATCCTCCACAATTTGAAGGAGTGTGACGAGCTGGCTGGAGGGCACAAGGAGAAAACCTTTAGACTTAACAAGAATCAGGCCAGTTGCCGGTCGTTCTGAACTCCTCAGACTTTCTACGCAGCTTGAGCATCTCAGCGAGGAAAACTTCTTTGCAACGTATCCAGCGAGGTAGTCCAAGATCTTCTCCTTAGGAGACTGCTGATGTTGCAAAAGTGAAGCCTGCTCCACAGTTTCTCCTGGCTCCAAAAGTACTTCATCAAAGAGAATAGCCAAACAGTCCGCCTGAAATGCAAACACTGTATTGCTGGTGTGCTGAACATAGAAAGTGCACCGAACGAAAAAGATGTACTGAATGCCTAGTATTGCTTTACACCTTTTGTATGACGAAATCCAGGCTTTATCAGAAATCAGCTCGGCTTCTCCAAATTAATGGCTGCAAAATCTTTGATACTGCCTGCACTGCACAGTCCCCTGGCACATATGTAATGCTCATACAGCTTAGTGTGGCTAGAAATGAGAAAATTCACACCTAAATGCATGCAGCCTAAAAACTATCCTGAAAACTTAGTTAAAGAACTAATACGCTTTGATCAGTTTCATCCTATTCAGGAGATATCGCTCCGCAAAGCGTTTGTACTGTGTTCTTCCTTGCCTGCACTTTTTTTTTCATTTTGTTTTCCCTGACGAATTCTTACCATCTGGCTCAGATTTCTACCCTTTCAACCCCTGTTAATATATTCTTGCTCACGTGACAGGCAGCAGGTTTTTCCTTCTGGAATAGGTCTTGGAGCTTCAGGAGGAGTTGTGGGCCGTCTCCTACAACTGATGCTCGCTGAGGCGGCTGGACAAGATTTCTGACAGAGAGCATTCTATAAATGAACAGAAATTGCTGGACTGTTGGTTGTCCTCCGTCACCAGCCACGTGCCTGATAATGCCAAAAAATCTCTGAAAGAAAAAATAAGGATTACTATTTAACTATCAAGCGAGAACGTGCACATGCTTACCTCTAATGGGTCCTGTCCAAACTTTCCCACCAGTACGTAGCGAAACCCTGAGGCAAGGAGGTTTTCAACCAGTGATATTGTGCTGAGCAAAGTTATTCTCAGCGCCTCACAGGTGGGCTTGCTTAAAAAGCAGACCTGCCTTTGCTTTGGCAGACTTTCGATGTATTTGCAGCACCTGTCCAACCATGAGATTCCCTCTTTCAGTGTCTATAAAGTAAGAAAGAATTTAGCCTGAGATCAGAAATGTGTGCAAGAGCAAAGTAATAATTCTTACGTCAACATGCTCAGCTTCACTGTACTGCACGTGTTCAGGCCTGCGGGAGTTCAAGCAGTCAAACAATCTGTTCATTTGTCTGGTGAATTCAGATGTTCCCGCAGACCCGTGAAGCTTTTTGCATGATTCCTGCTCACTGTAAAATATCATGGCTGTAGCTGTGGATTCACTGAAGAGCTGAAAAGAAATTTTTTGTATTGCATTTCACTGTGAGTCACATCAAAAAGGCAATTTTTTTTTGTTTTCTAAGTGCACTTGAGTGTTGGGCGCCTTACTTGAACAGCAAGTTTGACGCTCATTTTCTGAAAAGCGTTTGGGTATATATGTGCCCTCGTCAGCTTTGGTACAGCACGCAGCCCTGACTGTTGCTCTTCATACTCTAGAAGTGCTGCATAATGATCATGATACACTTCCCGACCTTGAGGCAGCTGTAGAAAGAAGGAATGTCAGAATGTCACTCGAGATGAGATCATATGAGTGACTATATCACAGGAACTGTAATTATTTCACTTACCAAAAACTTCCCAACTTTCTGCAGGGTATTTCTAATACATTTAAATATGTGTGGTGGATCAATGATAGCATAGATCACCTTAGAGGGGTCGCATGGGTGCTGAAACGACACCTGCTGGTCTTTCATGTCACCACGAATTCCTGAAAGAAATGAGCAACTAATAAATTATACCTTTCCAGATAGTCTGCAGCAGAGCTTGTGTGTTAAACACTTACCTAAGGACCTCAAGGCACACCGATTGGTAGTTGAATTATCACATGTCACAGCATCTATAACTGCGCCAGCATTACACAAGTGTACAATGCACTGAAGCACAAGCTTTGCAAGTATTGATCCCGGGGCAGCACTTGATGCACAAAAGGTACCCACAGTCTGCGACCATCCCCCCAGAAAGGGTCGAAACAGGAAGACCAAAACATGATCAGCATCCTTTTCACGGTCTGCTGGCCTGGTATGTTCTCCAAAGTCAACCTTACCAACGACTTTCATGTCAGACTCTCGGACGTGCAAACTTTTCCTGACACTCATTTCGTCGAACATGAGCACACCTGAAAGAAAAAAAAATTAATTTCTATCACTTCAGAAAGGCAAAACCACACAGCATTCAGGTTAAGTGATGTGCTTTCAAACCTCGTCGTTCACTTTCAGGGGAAGTGAGCAGCTTTTCCTTGAGCACAGTAAATACATGCGCATCAAAGCCAAAATCGGCTTTCAAGCTCTTCATATAGCAGTAGAGTGTGCGTGGATTTGGCAAGGGTAGAAAGTTGTTCTCTTGGAGATATGTATACACAGATGTGGACTTCGTTTTCAAAAGCAGGCAGTCATATAACCAGTCTTTCTTATACCTGGTAAGGAAAGGGTGCAAATCTCATTCACATGCACAAACATGCTAGCACAGTGCTTCCATAATGCTATCAAGCATAAAGACACATTGCTGTTAACCAAGTGTAACTGCATGCCAAGGGGTAATGTGAACATGCACATTGCACTGTGTACACAGTGGAAACCTGATCAACATGCAGGCCAAAGCCTTCATAATGAGAGCAGGCCACTATAAATGACACAGATCTATGGTGCATTCTCAATCCAGAACAATTAATAGAGAAAATAAGTGCACATTGGATCTCGAAGTTTTCAACGAAACTGCGCATAAGAGCAATCATTCACTGTCTGTTTATAAACGTGCTCAGAACAATAGCAGTACGGTGCGAAAAAAATATCAACACATCACGATAACATGGTTATGAGGGTGTGAATAAGCCACTCGTAGTAGTAAAAAGGGCACATTTTTTATATGGACGAAAATCATTGTTTCATGATTTAAAGTATTAGAGTCAGCGCAGTAAAGGTGGACTCAAGCAGAAAACGTATTTCATGGTAGTTTTGAACGCTTAGCTGATTTTGAATGGAGCCGACACTTGCTCAGAAAACAACGGATATGTAGCTTTTAATTTGGTGAATATCTAAAATTACCACGTGAATATTCCATCGCCTTTACACGTAAACCATATTCGTTAAGTAGTGCTTGAAGCTTACCGTACGGCTCTTGCAGACTTCGCGTTTGCCTTCATCACGCACTGATCAATAATCAGTTTCTCGCGATCGGAAAGTCTTTGAAGGCTCTGCTGTTGTCGTTCGTACTTGGCAGTCTTCTTTCGGAACTCGGCGAGTTTTGTTTGGCATTGCCGAAGCTGCTGCTTCGCAGCTCGAAGTTGGCACCTCAACTTTTGCACTGCTGCACAGCTGGCGCAGTCAACCAAGCGGTCTGTCTGACAAGCTGTGTCCGTGTGGTAGGTTTCGACCGTTTCACTGGTCAGTGCCACATCTGCTAAAAAAAGAAAAAAAGGAAGAAGAAAAGGAGTGAAGAAAAACAAGTCATGCAGTTTCAAATTTACAGGCTCAGACGATACCCTCATACACGACGACACGGATGTAATCTGGCCTAGCGCTTACATACCTTCATTCACTGATGCAGCATCGGTGCGGTCTGAACAGGTCGTCGGCGATGCTCGTTGCTCCTCCGTCTCGCACGACGACTCACGTGCTCGTTTGCGCGGTGATCGATTTGTCGATGAGCGGGGTCGAGGTTTACGCTTCGTGAGATACGAAGGAAGGCCACCAAAAATACTTGGGACAGCGTCAGCCTTCAGCGTTGGCTTGTCGCGCTCCAGGGACACGGCGTCGCCGTTGATATTGAAATCATAAGTAGTGACAATGTCCGAGGCGTCGAAATGCTTCGCACACACACGTGTATATTTGGACTCAAAGTTGAAGTCGCCACTTTCCTGCCGCGGTATGGCCCGTTTCCATTTCTCGCGCTGGTCCTTGTCAGGTGGAAAAGAAAACAACGACACCTTCTCGGTCGTTCCTCTGTAGCCGGAACGGCACCCCGGCACGCAACACGTGTTAGGCATCGTCGTCTCACAACATTTTGGCTAACTCGGACACGCACGCACGCTTCTTCCACCAGTTTGTCTCGCTGTGCGCACGCGTTTCAGTCTGTTTCAGTACGCGAGCAGCCCGAACGATGCCCTCTGTGGCGCAGTGGCGCCGCATCGCGGCAGTTTTGGGCAGCGTATGAAGCTCTCCCATAGAGTGACGGCGGAGTTTCGTGACCAGAAAAGCATTGAAGGACTCTGGTAATGCCAAGAAATGTACAGGGGAAGTTATTAAAACCAATGGAATGTAAATAAGAAGAAAGAAAAGTGGATGAAAAAATCACCAACTGTGAGCAGGAATCGAACCTACGACCTTCGAATTACGCGTTCGATGCTCTAACCACTGAGCTATCACAGCGGCCCTCCCTCCATCCACTTTTTTTGGGTTTATCTGTGAATTTAGAAGTAGGAGCGACAGCCAGCGCCATCTATAAGCCAAACAACGAGTGGGAAAACACTCTTATGCGCATGTTTGGCGTCACGTAGCACGTGAACTTATTATGAGCAGGCAGCTGATTAATTGTCCCTCTTATACAACCTAAACGCACCAAGTCTGCCAGTACGAGACCCTCGTTCAATGAAATAAGGGAAAGAAGTGTATACCTAAGGGCTCGTTTTTCCGTGTTTTAACACAATATTAGTGAGATATAACAGCCAGTAATGCCAAGGAATGTACAGGGGAAGTTATTTAAACCAATGGAATGTAAATAAGAAGAAAGAAAAGTGGATGAAAAAATCACCAACTGTGAGCAGGAATCGAACCTACGACCTTCGAATTACGCGTTCGATGCTCTAACCACTGAGCTATCACAGCGGCCCTCCCTCCATCCACTTTTTTTTGGGTTTATCTGTGAATTTAGAAGTAGGAGCGACAGTCAGCGCCATCTATAAGCCAAACAACGAGTGTGAAAACACTCTTATGCGCATGTTTGGCGTCACGTAGCACGTGAACTTATGATGAGCAGGCAGCTGATTAATTGTCCCTCTTATACAACCTAAACACACCAAGTCTGCCAGTACGAGACCCTCGTTCAATGAAATAAGGGAAAGAAGTGTATACCTAAGGGCTCGTTTTTCCGTGTTTTAACACAATATTAATGAGATATAACAGACAGTAATGCCAAGGAATGTACAGGGGAAGTTATTAAAACCAATGGAATGTAAATAAGAAGAAAGAAAAGTGGATGAAAAAATCACCAACTGTGAGCAGGAATCGAACCTACGACCTTCGAATTACGCGTTCGATGCTCTAACCACTGAGCTATCACAGCGGCCCTCCCTCGATCCACTTTTTTTGGGTTTATCTGTGAATTTAGAAGTAGGAGCGACAGTCAGCGCCATCTATAAGCCAAACAACGAGTGTGAAAACACTCTTATGCGCATGTTTGGCGTCACGTAGCACGTGAACTTATTATGAGCAGGCAGCTGATTAATTGTCCCTCTTATACAACCTAAACACACCAAGTCTGCCAGTACGAGACCCTCGTTCAATGAAATAAGGGAAAGAAGTGTATACCTAAGGGCTCGTTTTTCCGTGTTTTAACACAATATTAATGAGATATAACAGACAGTAATGCCAAGGAATGTACAGGGGAAGTTATTAAAACCAATGGAATGTAAATAAGAAGAAAGAAATGTGGATGAAAAAATCACCAACTGTGAGCAGGAATCGAGCCTACGACCTTCGAATTACGCGTTCGATGCTCTAACCACTGAGCTATCACAGCGGCCCTCCCTCCATCCACTTTATTTTGGGTTTATCTGTGAATTTAGAAGTAGGAGCGACAGTCAGCGCCATCTATAAGCCAAACAACGAGTGTGAAAACACTCTTATGCGCATGTTTGGCGTCACGTAGCACGTGAACTTATTATGAGCAGGCAGCTGATTAATTGTCCCTCTTATACAACCTAAACACACCAAGTCTGCCAGTACGAGACCCTCGTTCAATGAAATAAGGGAAAGAGGTGTATACCTAAGGGCTCGTTTTCCGTGTTTTAACACAATATTAATGAGATATAACAGACAGTAGTGCCAAGGAATGTACAGGGGAAGTTATTAAAACCAATGGAATGTAAATAAGAAGAAAGAAATGTGGATGAAAAAATCACCAACTGTGAGCAGGAATCGAACCTACGACCTTCGAATTACGCGTTCGATGCTCTAACCACTGAGCTATCACAGCGGCCCTCCCTCCATCCACTTTATTTTTGGTTTATCTGTGAATTTAGAAGTAGGAGCGACAGTCAGCGCCATCTATAAGCCAAACAACGAGTGTGAAAACACTCTTATGCGCATGTTTGGCGTCACGTAGCACGTGAACTTATTATGAGCAGGCAGCTGATTAATTGTCCCTCCTATACAACCTAAACACACCAAGTCTGCCAGTACGAGACCCTCGTTCAGTGAAATAAGGGAAAGAAGGTGTATACCTAAGGGCTCGTTTTTCCGTGTTTTAACACAATATTATAGATATAACAGACAGTAATGCAAGGAATGTACAGGGGAAGTTATTAAAACCAATGGAATGTAAATAAGAAGAAAGAAAAGTGGATGAAAAAATCACCAACTGTGAGCAGGAATCGAACCTACGACCTTCGAATTACGCGTTCGATGCTCTAATCACTGAGCTATCACAGCGGCCCTCCCTCCATCCACATTTTTTTTTGTTTATCTGTGAATTCAGAAGTAGGAGCGACAGTCAGCGCCATCTATAAGCCAAACAACGAGTGTGAAAACACTCTTATGCGCATGTTTGGCGTCACGTAGCACGTGAACTTATTATGAGCAGGCAGCTGATTAATTGTCCCTCCTATACAACCTAAACACACCAAGTCTGCCAGTACGAGACCCTCGTTCAGTGAAATACGGGAAAGAAGTGTATACCTAAGGGCTCGTTTTTCCGTGTTTTAACACAATATTAATGAGATATAACAGACAGTAATGCCAAGGAATGTACAGGGGAAGTTATTAAAACCAATGGAATGTAAATAAGAAGAAAAGTGGATGAAAAAATCACCAACTGTGAGCAGGAATCGAACCTACGACCTTCATATTACGCGTTCGATGCTCTAACCACTGAGCTATCACAGCGGCCCTCCCTCCATTCACTTTTTTTTGGGTTTATCTGTGAATTTAGAAGTAGGAGCGACAGTCAGCGCCATCTATAAGCCAAACAACGAGTGTGAAAACACTCTTATGCGCATGTTTGGCGTCACGTAGCACGTGAACTTATTATGTGCAGGCAGCTGATTAATTGTCCCTCTTATACAACCTAAACACACCAAGTCTGCCAGTACGAGACCCTCGTTCAATGAAATAAGGGAAAGAAGTGTATACCTAAGGCCTCGTTTTTCCGTGTTTTAACACAATATAATGAGATATAACAGGCAGTAATGCCAAGGAATGTACAGGGGAAGTTATTAAAACCAATGGAATGTAAATAGGAAGAAAGAAAAGTGGATGAAAAAATCACCAACTGTGAGCAGGAATCGAACCTACGACCTTCGAATTACGCGTTCGATGCTCTAACCACTGAGCTATCACAGCGGCCCTCCCTCCATCCACTTTTTTTTGTTTATCTGTGAATTTAGAAGTAGGAGCGACAGTCAGCGCCATCTATAAGTCAAACAACGAGTGTGAAAACACTCTTATGCTCATGTTTGGCGTCACGTAGCACGTGAACTTATGAGCAGGCAGCTGATTAATTGTCCCTCTTATACAACCTAAACACACCAAGTCTGCCAGTACGAGACCCTCGTTCAATGAAATAAGGGAAAGAAGTGTATACCTAAGGGCTCGTTTTTCCGTGTTTTAACACAATATTAATGAGATATAACAGACAGTAATGCCAAGGAATGTACAGGGGAAGTTATTAAAACCAATGGAATGTAAATAAGAAGAAAGAAAAGTTGATGAAAAATCACCAACTGTGAGCAGGAATCGAACCTACGACCTTCGAATTACGCGTTCGATGCTCTAACCACTGAGCTATCACAGCGGCCCTCCCTCCATCCACTTTTTTTGGGGTTTATCTGTGAATTTAGAAGTAGGAGCGACAGTCAGCGCCATCTATAAGCCAAACAACGAGTGTGAAAACACTCTTATGCGCATGTTTGGCGTCACGTAGCACGTGAACTTATTATGAGCAGGCAGCTGATTAATTGTCCCTCTTACACAACCTAAACACACCAAGTCTGCCAGTACGAGACCCTCGTTCAATGAAATAAGGGAAAGAAGTGTATACCTAAGGGCTCGTTTTTCCGTGTTTTAACACAATATTAATGAGATATAACAGACAGTAATGCCAAGGAATGTACAGGGGAAGTTATTAAAACCAATGGAATGTAAATAAGAAGAAAGAAAAGTGGATGAAAAAATCACTAACTGTGGAAGGAATCGAACCTATGACCTTCGAATTACGCGTTCGATGCTCTAACCACTGAGCTATCACAGCGGCCCTCCCTCCATCCACTTTTTTTTGGGTTTATCTGTGAATTTAGAAGTAGGAGCGACAGTCAGCGCCATATATATATATATACTGAGTGATAGTGACGCCCACGTCGATGCCGAAGCCGACGCCGGCGGCAAGATCCAGCCGAGAGTGTCGATATAATTGCTATCACAATAATAAGAACGTGCACATCTAACCTACGTGTAAGTGTCTACGTGAGAAGCTCTTGTGAAACGGGTGTTATAGTGGTCACACGTGTGATGCTTAAAGCAGTCGTTTGCTTTTTTTTTCGTGTACCACGCAGGACGCAGTGATACTTGTTAAAACACCCTGTTGGCAGCAACATTTATGTTGTGCCATTGAAGTCGCAGCTGTTACTGAAGTAGTACATGACAAGTCGGTGCTACTCTTCTCAAGGGGGATGGAGTGTACCTAGTTTAGCCCATTACTTAAGTGAGTAGGACGTTTCATTCCAGTCTTTAAAGCACAGGGCTACGCTCGGCCCACCGTGGTGGTCTAGTGGCTAAGGTACTTGGCTGCTGACCCGCAGGTAACGGAATCGAATCCTGGTTGCGGCGGCTGCATTTTTAATGGAGGCGAAAATGCTGTACGCCCATGTGCTCAGATTTGGGTGCACGTAAAAGAACTCCCGGTGGTCGAAATTTCCGGAGCCCTCCACTACCTCATCTCTCATAACCTTATGGTGATTTTGGGAT